CCCTCTTCAAACCTTCAAACATCACCCCTTGAAGACAATTGTCAAGACCACTCTTCATTTTCTCTTCTCTGGGCTACAATGCCCAATCATCAAAGTAAAGTTCTGAAAACTTCAAACACCTTTCAATGAACCTATCTTTGGTTTATTCTCCTTAACTTGTCATTATATTTATGGTATTTAGCATCTTGATTATTACAAGCCCTGATTCTTTCAAAGTCTGTCATGGTCACAGAAATTTTAGATCTAGTAAATGTTAGCTATTACCCGGTTCAAACTCAAACCCATCACTTTAGAGATAAAGAAACTCAAGTTACGAGAAATTATTTTAGGTAACTTGCTGAAAGCCACATAGGTTTGGTGTCACAATTAAAATTACAACCCAAGCCTTTTAATTGCAAATTCATGACTATTTCTACTATATAATGTCCAATGTTCTTTTGGTAGAATGAAACAATTCAAAATCAAAAGGTTGTAAATGATTCATTTTATTAAGTAGATTTCTAGTTAAGATTCATAACAAAATTAGACAGCCACAAACACACAACACTGGTCAGGTAGGGCCTATTTAATTCCATATATTTCATCTATGAATTTTTTAACCTAATGAATATGATTCAGAATATTTTTATCAAGGAACCTTTAAGGAACTTAGTTATCTTGTAAATGGATATTTTCCTTTATTGGGTTTTAAAACAGTGAAGAAACTTCCACAAAAAGCAGAATGATTTCACATTTTCCAGCAAGAAATTAGAAAAGTCTTTTTTTTTTCTAAAGTTCAAATTTCACAGATTATACTTTGGAACATAAGGGTCATAGTCTATCTTTAGATTCACCACCCACCATCCAACAGTAGAATTTGGCCCCCAAAACCGATTAACAAATATTGTCATTAAACTAAAGAGCTAATTGCTTTGGAATTTAGACAGAATGAACAAAATCACAGGCCAACCACAGCTGGTAGTAATAATGGTGAGACTAACCATATGTTCCACAGGAGATTTGAAAGAACAAAAGCAAATTAACACTAATGTAACCAAACATGTGAAATTATCCTTTAAATGAAATAAACAATTAGAGTTAGAGAATTCTTGATATTTCATTGGAATCATCTAGCACAAGAATCTTTCCAAGTAATTGATCATAATAATTTAAAATTATCTTTGATTAATGAAAAGGAAAACTTTGTGATTTCAGTCTTTTATTATAATGTATAACAAATGACTTTTAAGAAATACATCTCAAAATAAACATAATATATCAGTATAATATAATTATGGCAAACCATTCCAGCATCTTTGCCAAGAAAACCCCATATGGGGTCACAAAGAGTTGGACATGACTTAAACAACTGAACAACAACAATCTATTACATGTAGGCACTGTGCTAAGTGCTTTACAAGTATTGCCTCATTAGGTCCTGTCTTGTGAGGTATTTGTCAACTAGATACTGGAGTGGTTTGCCCTTTCCTTCTCCAACTCATTTTATAGATGAGGAAACTGAGGCAAACAGGGTTAAATGACTTGCCCAGGAGCACATAGCCAGTAAGGACAGATCTGAACTCAGGAACTCTATCCACTGAGCTACCTAGCTGACCAATCTATAGGATCTTTGTGATTCCTATTTAGCTTTATTTAAAAATTAAAATAAAAAATGTATGATATAATTCTAGGCCTTCTTAAACAGAATATACTGAACTTAATTTACTTTCTTTTAATAATTCTAGGATTAAAGAATTTAAAGTTGGAAAGAGACCTTATAGATGACCTATTCTAATCCCCCTTATTTTACAGATGTGGAAAGAGATTAAGTTATATGATCATAGTTTTAGGGCAGGAAGATAGTGTAGAAGTCACTTAGTTAAATCTCATCATTTTACAGATGAGAAAACTAAGTCCCAGAGAGATGACATTCTTGCTTATGATCCCATGAGTAGTAAATGCCAGAGCTGATATTTGAACTGAAGTCTTTGGATTCTAAATTCAATGCCCCTTCCACTATGCCAGACTTCCCTTCAGCTCAGTGTCATTAGAAAGATTCCAAGGTACTTCTAAACCAATGGGGAGGCAACATTTATTCTTTTTGACTATCAGTTCAGTTCACCCAGTGTTTAATTTGTTCTCTCAATGAAAGTTATAATACATTTGCAATGATAGCTTCTATTCACAAAGATACCAACTATATATCTGATAATATATATATATATATATATATATATATGATGGGTATGTATGTGTGTGTGTGTGTATATACATATATATATATATATATATACATATTATATATATATGTAATATTGAGGGAGGGGAAGGAGAGAGAGAGAGAGAGAGAGAGTATGCAACTTCCAAAAACATTGAGAGAAGTAGATGCAATATGAATCTTTTCATTAGCTTTTGGATGAAAGAATTAAAAAATTCCTCTCTGGTAAAGTTCACTTTGAAAGCATAATTTCTTTCCTCAGGCTTCAACTTAGCATTCAAGAAAAGATGACAAACTCAATTCTTTATCCAATTTTCCAACATTCTCAAGATACAAGAAAATGAACTTTCCACTTGACTGACTATAACTTTTATAAGGAGTAACCAGACAGAGATTATTATCCTCCTTTATGTATTTTTATCCATAGAGAAATCTTTAGGATACAAATATACCAAAAATATAGTTATGGGCTCCAATGGAATATATTCTTCAGTGTACAACCATAGCAAAAATGGCCTTGCCCAAGAGCTGACCTTACTTTCTTAGTTTCCAAATCTTTCAAAGATAGATTGAGTTTACCTGACAGCAATGCACATATGATCTATGAACTTTCTTCTGTATATTTGAACTGGACTTTGAGCCATATTCTCTATATGTCAACTGTATTTAATCTAGATTACAAATTCCTAGAAGGAAGCAGTCTTACATCTTCCATAACCCTTCTTCCAAACAGTTTCTGAAATTTTGTATATTCTAAATTTAATAAATATTCATTAAGTTAAATTTAAACTTATCCATGTTTAGCACCTCATACCTACAGATCTCTGTCCAAGAAGGATTTTCTTTATCTACATATGGAAATTTCAAAGGTTGAAAAGATTAGTACCCAAATGCCCATATATAAGTGTTTTTTTTAAAATTGTGATCAATTTTGTTTTTTAAAAAAGGACTCATTTTTATATTTCCACAGATTTTACTTACTAGACAGTCAAGGAGTCTCTAACATATAAAATTCACTCAAATTACTTAATAAGTTTTCTTTGGGGAGGTATATATTAAGAACACAGTCTGAAAAAAAAATGAATGTTGTTTTTGGGAAGATGTTGTCCCAACCTCTATTCTATCTGCTTTTCTGGAGAAGGAAAAGTAAAAGAAAAAACAGTCCTGACACTGAAAAATACAGCAGAATTGCATTTAATATTGTCACACAGACTTATTTGGGATTTTAAAAGTCAAAATAAACCTGTATGTGAAAAGCTGCTCAGAGTTTACCATGCTATACTGTTTTGTCTGAAAACACTTTGTAATCGGAGTTGGTATATATTTCTGACAGCATTATAAATTGAGTGCTATATTATCATTCATTTTCATTGCTGAAAAAGACATATGTAAAATATATTTTATCATTGTACTAACAGGGATGCATTCAGTTTCCTCCCTCCATTTGTAATGATGTAGCTACTTGTAAAAGTGCACCAAAGTTGCTCAATAGATGGATTATCAGACTTGGAATCATCAAGACCCAAGTTCAAATCCAGCCTCAGATACTTATCAGCAAATGTTAGACTCTAGGTAAGTCATTTAACTTCTCACTGCCTTAGTTTCCTCTTTGGTAAAATAAGGATAATAATATCACCTAGATCCCAGGGTTGTTGTGATGATAAAATGAGAGAATATTTGTAAAGTGCTTTGCAAACCTTAAAGCACTTTATAAATGTTATCTACTACTATAAATTTGTGCTTTAGGGATATCAATTCCCTTTTGGAGAAGATTAGTTTCTGACCCCTAATTCTGTAGAAACAAGATATATTATAAAATGTATAGGGATGCATATGTAAATTGAGAGGAAGATAATGTCTACAAGGCTGTGATTCAATCAAAGGGTCTTGATGAGATCATTTGCCATAACAACAAACATCACATTCAACATGGAGGATGTCACTGCAAGTCTGAGCTCCAACTTAGTTATTAGTTATGAGTCAGTTCATATTTAGACCACAGTGAAAAGAACACTTCTACTCATGAAACTTTACACAAAATCAATTGGTAGTCAAATAGGGTGTATGCAGAAATGGCCTTTACTGTTCTCAGTGAATGGAATCATAGCATGTCTCTAAGCATATCACACACTTTGTAAGTCCTTTACTGTGAAGAGAAGACTACACATACTAACAATCCATCCTCTCAGCACTTAGGGCTGAGTTTTCAAACAAAGAGGCAAAAGTTAGGTTGTCTAAAATGTGTTCGTTCACTCCTACCCAGCCAGAGTGATGTGGACCACAGTTGTTTAGTCAAAATTGCTTTCAGAAATAGATTTAATTATATTAAATGTCTAAATAAACAAAATCACCCTGTATGGTAGACTAGTGAGGGGATGATACAATCAGGATAATCAGTTGGGCGGATTCTTTGGATAGGACTCAATTATCTAACTGAAAAGGAGATAAAAATATTTGGGAATTAGATGGCCACATTAGCAGTTTAAAAGGGAAGTTGATAGGTTGGCCCAACCAGAGGGGTCTAGTTCAGTAAAACAGATACAGTTTTTTAAAAGATACAGTTTTTACCTTATTCAGTTGTATCCTCAACTTAGTGGACAGATAGAAATCACTTTATTAGGAGGCTAATCTTTCTTTCACCATTCTATGTAAATGCACAAATGGGGCCATTTTCTTCTATGATGCTAAGATCACTATTCAATAACCCTCTCCTCTCTGGGACTACGTCATTAATATACACTAAGTATTCACTGTAATGAAGTTTGGCGCTTTAGACAATGAGTTATTTACATAATTCACTAACCTTTGTGTTCGTATGATCATTCGGAAAATCCTGCACGTCTATATCGTGGGAACATGCAAAGAAGAATGGATTTCTTGGATCCTGTCTTTAATTCCAAAGGCTTCAAGATTTGCCTAGGAGACTACTGAAGTGACTCCAGGAATGCAGCTGAGTAACCGAGGCATCACTGCTGGGGCAACCAGCAACTTGTTGAGTCTGAAACAACAACAATAACAAAAACCTAAGTCATTAGTCACCTGAAATCTGGATAGAACCTACTTTGGAGAAGTTCATTAACTGAATTTAAAGTTGGTTTGTCCATTTTTTTGGTTTATAACAGTTGCCTTTTAACATTTTACCTCTAACATTTCATTAGTTACCAGTTAGGTCAAAATTTCATTGATAAGCTGACCTAAAGAGGGTCTGGACTGAAGTCATTATCCTTTAATAGACTTTTTTTTCTATTTATCTCTAAGTATTTCATCAGTTGTGTGATCACAAATGTCATTTCTGACATCCCACTGCTGTATTTTGGTGTAGTGTTTCTTATCAATCAAGAGGGCTAATATTTAGAATTTTAAAATTTACTTTTCAGTCACAGGGGATAGTGATATACCGTACCAAATAAGAAAAAAATAAAGCACATAAACTAATATTTTCTTCAGTCTTTCTGTATTTACATAGCAACTGTATTTTCTTCTACTTCAGAAGTGTTTATTACAATAATTATATGTAAACATGAGTAACTTCCTTTGAAATCCATCTTCATTTCTTACACTGAGACAGAACAATAGTAGCATCTTTGCTGAATGAGCTATGTAGGAGATGGTACAGTGCCTGATGAGGAAAATAAATCTTTTCTGATAATCAAGTATCTGGCTACTCATCATATTTGGGGAAATACATAGATTGCAATAAATACAAGATTTGTAGCAGAAAGAGGAATATGCAGGAGGCTGGGGCCAGTGACGTGGGGACCTGGCTGGAATGGAGAGGAAGAAGATGGGAGCTGGGGTGGTGGTGCAGACACATGGTACCTGAACACAGACAGATACACAGGGTCCAGACATGAGGGTGGGTGGGCTGAGTGGGGCAAAGGTCTGCTTTCTACGTGATGGAGGTCTCAAGCCCAGTACCCAATCAGTCCACAGTAGCAATCTTTCTGCTTTCACTTGGAGGATTTTTTTAGGTTTTTTGTGTGTGTGTGTGTATGTGGTGCTAGTGGGGTGGTAGAAGGCTGCAAAGTACCAAACTGAGGAGCAGAACTGGAGGGAGCACAGTACTGCATAGCACAGTTAACATAGGTTTGTTTGTTTGTTTTTTGGAATGTGGATTTCTTTCATTATTCTTTTAGTAAAGTCAAATTTGTATAATTTGAATTCATGTAAAGTCAAAAATATCTATATTAATCAGGACAAGTACTCTAACTGTAACGTACCCTTGGCTAGTAAAGTCAAGGCCAATCAAAGTCAAAGAGGTGGTAATTGAAGTAGGTGGTTTATAGGCTCCTCTTTAACCTAAGTGAGAGCTGCTATCCAAAGCAGTGAAAGCAGCACTAAACTTGTACTAATAAGACTTAAGATTGAAAATGGATTCTTTCACTTATTGTGTGACCATGGGCAAGTCATTTAGCCCTTCTGGGTCTCAATTTCCCCATTAGTAAAACAAGGGAGTTGGCCTAGATGACCTCTAAGTTTCCTTCCGGCTCTTCATGTATGATGCTAAGAATTGTTTCCAAGTAGATGTGCATGTCAGTGTTGGAAGAGAATGGTATGTGAAATAAAAGTGGCTAAATGGACGTTAGGTAATAGCAATGATAATGACTACTTGGAGCAAGGCTGTTAATTAGGGGTTCCTATGTTGTAGCAGGAAAAGGGTGGGGTATTCACTTTTTGCCACTGCTAAGATACTGTAGATGAAGGATATGTGGTTTTATCAGTGTAAAAGGAAAGGGAACTCCCTCCACCAGTGGTGACTTGTGACTTTTTAAGTTTAGCATTTCTTTCCACCAAGCCAGATCATAACCTATGACACACATAATGACATATGTTAGTTATTTGCCTGAAGAGTATGGAAGGTTTGTGACTTGCCCAAAGAATTAGTGTCACAGGAGACATTTGGACCAAGATCTTCCATGTTCCAAACCTAGGACTCTATTCACTACTGCCTCTAGACCATTATGGTACCAAAAATTGCAGAAGAATAGTCTGATTGGAAATTTGTAAGATTCCAATAGTTAGCATAATTTTTCCCTGTTAAACCGCTTTGATTCTTACTTCTAAGTCTCTTTTATATCTGCCTCTCCCTTTCTCCACTGCCACCACTCTAGTCTAGGCACGTTGTCAACTCATGCCTGGATTACTGCAAAAGCTTCTGTAACTTATTGAAGCAGGATAGCATAGTGGAGAAAGCACGGGGTTTGGGTTTGGAATTTCTTGAATTCTTGTTCTACCATTTTAAAAGTTGTATGTCCTTAGGCAAGTTAAGGTCATTGATCTGGACCCCCATTTTCTCTTTTATAAAATGAGAGCAATAGACTAGATGATATCTTCCAAATCTATATATCCTATACTAAACTGCTTGTTTTGAGATCATATGTTCTAGATCCTATGATCAGCCTGACTTTAGTTTTGCCCCTTCTAATACATCCTACATAATTCATCATCCTAAATATCACTTTCTTTTTTAAAAAAATCATTTTTTTTAAAAGAGGCAGTCAGGGTTAAGTGACTTGCCCAGGGTCACACAGCTAGTGTCTGAGGCCAGATTTGAATTCAGGTCCTCCTGAATCCAGGGCCAATGCTCTAACCACTGTGCCACCTAGCTGCCCCAAATATCACTTTCATTATAACAGTTCCTCTGCTCATCATTTGATGGTCTACAGGATGAAGTCCAAGCTCTTTGACTGAGTATTCAAAGATCTCACCAAGTCTGGGTCCAGGTTAGTTTTCCAACCTGATCTCTCCATACTCACAAACCACATACTTTAGATAAGCGTGTTTACTCACTGTTACCTAAACGTGTCTTCTGTTTTTCTGTCTCTGTTTTTGCTCATGGCAATGGCTTACTCTCCTCTCTTCTTAATGCTTATCCATCTTCTAACATACAGCTGATAGCCCTCTTCTTTAAAGCATTTGCAGCCCAATTCTAGCCTACAATCTATTGTGTCTTTTAAGTATTTGTACCATTAATTTAGCAATTAATCATTTCTGTCTTTTGATATACTGTGAATTATTATGCTAGACTGTTTCTTATCTCTGGTAATGTTATTTAAAAGTTTATGTCAAGGCCTCATTTAATAGATTACAGGGCTGTAGTAAGTGTTCTTCTAGGTATGTAATCCTGACCCAGAAATAGGTCCTCTACAAATAATTTAAGCAAAGTTCTGTCCTCTCATCCTCAAGACATATATACTTTTGAACTGGGTCAAGTTTTAGGGAGGCATAAGGAGTGAGGGTATTAGACTGTTATTGATTGGGGGACCAGGGAAGGTTTCTTGGTGCATGTGACATTTGAATTTGATATTAAAGTTGGAGATGCAATTTAAAAAGTATAAATTGGAGGGAGGAAGATATTCTATGTCCCGCATATGACGTGAGCAAAGGTACACAATCAGAAGAGTAGGGGATATGTAGGAGAGATAGAGCATGTGGATGTGGTCTAAAATAAATAAGACTGGGAAGGTAGATAGGGTGGTGCCAGGTTGTAAAGGGTCTTGAATGCCAGGAAAAGAAAGCTGAACTATACTGGGAAGATAACAGAAGGTCATTGGAATACTTTGAGCAGTGGTATCATACGACTAGATTTACATATAAGGATCCATGAACTTCATACTTGACATTTAATATGTTGTATATGTCTTTTTCATTACTACCCCATAAGTGTTCATTATTTCTAAATGTCCTTAAAAAATACAAATATTGGTTCAAGAAATATTAAACTGAACAATTAAAGCCACTTAAAATAGATGGTCTTTGAAATTGGAAATAATAAAAGTTAGCATGAATCCATTTTTAGCTGCTGGGGATTTTCATAAATATAACAAAGGCTACTCTCAAGATGCAAAGTAAGACATGGTAGTGAAGCCCAATATTGTGTATCATTTCTCAAAAAAAATGGTTCCCTTAGGGTAGTCTGTGACTAATTAATAAAGATGATGATGATAAAGCACTGTAAGATTTAAAAAGTGTTGTCTTTATAACACCAGGAGGTAGTTTTTATAAATATAATCACATCAACTTTGCAGATAAGAAAATGGAGAAATTGAGGAACTTTTCCTGGGTTACACAACAAATACACTAAGTATTGGACTTAAGCTCAGTTGTCACGATTACAAGACTAGTGCTCTCACTACTATACCACACTGCCATTAAGTATATGCTAGAAACTAAAATAAATTAAATAATGAGGCTATTAATATGCAAATGAAAGGCTATAAATAAATATTAATACCTTATTGTTATGGAGAGTTTTACCACTTCATTCTGTATTAAATTTTTTTATATGTATTTTCTTATTTGATTCTTACAACCACCCTAAAGGTGACATTACAGGAGTATTACTACTCCTATTTTACAAATGAAGAAACTAATGCCCAGAAAGTATAAGGAACTCATTTCTCTTCTAAAAAAATTAAATTTCATTTATTAAACATGTTACCAAGATAATTTTTTCTTCTCTATATGCCTCATTAAAGGAAAAAGGAAGAAAAACAAAAGCCTTCTAACAAATACTCAAGCAAAATAAATTCTGATATTCATCATTTCTAAAATTGTGTGTCTCATTCTGCATAATCCATCACCTCTCAGTCAGGAGGTATGTTGCATGCTTCATCACTGGTCCTCATGATTGATCATTGCACTAATCAGAGTTTTTAAGTCTCAAATTGACTTATTATTATTATTATTATTATTATTTACAATGTTGATACAATAGCATAAAGTGGTTCTGCTTATACCCCATCTGCATCAATTCATACAAGTCTTCCTAGGCTTTTGTGGAAGTTTCTTTTTTCAGGAGATTTTAACAACATCACATAGTTAATAAGTGGTACCCTGATCTAATGACTTCCACCCAGACCTGATGACTCCCAGTCAGTATACTGTTCTTTCTAGTAACATTTGAAATTCGTAATTCAAAATACTGTTATTAGCCTATTGTAAAAAAAAAATGGATCATTGTAATATCCAAACATATTTTCTGTAGGCAACATGCTT